ATCTTTCATACTTTGATTGATGAAAAACAATAAACGCTTAAATATCTTGTAAAGTATGTCACCAAAATAGCAGAAAAAGAACTTAGTAACAACATATAAACTTAGTAGTTATATAAGTTAAAGCTTTTCGTACTTTTTATAAGTGGGATAAAAGTTTGTGACGCAGCAGAAATAAAACTTGGTAGTGTATGATTATCAATTTCAATCTACTATAATAAAGTCGATGATATTACTTTTGCAGTTGCGAAAGAAACCAACATATCCTGAGTTTTTAAAAACTATGAAAATTTAAAACCATTTAAAAAATCTTTGATACAATATTTTTTTGTTATGTTTTACACTTATAAAGTTACTTTCTCACTGCTATTATAAAGTAAGATTGCATCAAGTTGTAACAATAAACATTCTAAAGTAACCAGAGTAAATATTAATTTTGACTTTCAGCAAAGTAGTTTCATATTGAACATAAGAAGATTAATAAAGGTAACAAGTTTATACAAAACAAATACAAATTATTAAACAGTCTGTTCTCCTATATTCTTTATTTCCATTTAACTTAATTTTGTTCGTGCTTTTTTTTTTTTACTTTTTCAATTTTCAAACTTTGAAACATTTTAAAAATAACAATATGATTGAAATATGCAACTTTAATCTAGTCAATGTAAAAGAAGTAGTAAGTAAAGCAATAACAAATCTTCAAGCGCAATCTCTGTATTTTCAAATTCCGTTCAGTTTTCTGGGGCTTTCCAATATGGCGATTTTGGCGTCAATTTTGATATTAGAGATGCGCTATCCAGTTATTATAGAGATCAGTGATAGCATCTCTTATGACCAATCAACCATATTAATACCTAACCAACCATCTAAACAACCAGCAAAAACATCTAAAAACTACTACTTCTGACACACAACCTAATATATCCTCAAGAACAGGATGTACTATTAAAAGGCCAAATTATCTTGATGAATACTCTCTTTCATAGAGTATTATCCAAGAGTAAGATAATTACACCTCGTACTAAAACTTTCTTAAAACAGAAAAGACTGTTATATTTTTATGACCTATGTATTATAAACTAAATAACCAACGTCAATCATGTCATTAAAATAATACAGTTAAATGTATTTGAGTTATTCTAATTATAATTAATAGATGTGCTATAAAATGATATTATACTATGAATTTACTAATCTTTTAACTAAAAATTATCAGTAACAAAAAAAGAAAAAAATTAATAAACAATATTTGCATACAAATATAGATAAATTGTCTGTGATTTAAAATGTTACTGAAAAATATACAAGTTTTTTTGTATAATATACAAGGTATTTAATGTGTTATTTTGACAGCACTTGTTGTTCATAATAATTTTGTTATTTTACTTGTATTTCTTCTGTTTTTGCTTTTTCAAACACAGTTTCTACTGGAACTACAACAAGCCTATGGAACAGATTGTTTTTCAATATGTTGTTGAAAATAAAACAGTAGAAATTGGTTTAAGTTTGGTTGTTTCAAACTTTCTTGTGCTGTCAACCTTTTTACAGTACTGCAGATCCCATCTCATTGTGACGTTCCGTGGGACATTAAAAATAGACTTTATTTGGCTTTAAAACCCAATTTACTTGTGAGGTCTTAAAGCTTAATTCATGCTAGAAGGCATAGATTGTAAAAGCTTTTAAATTTTTTTACTGCCCTACACAATCATAATTGAAAAAATGCAATTTAAACAAAATAAGAAATTTTGTTCTTAATATGGGTAAGATTTGTTAAAATATTTTGTGCACATGGATTACCTAGTGTTTAATGTAGGCTGATATAAAAAATAAAAAATATGTATTAGTACATCCTCTTATCTTTATATTATATCATAATAGATGTAAAAAAACATTTTTTACAGGTGAGTATTTGACTTAATGAAAATCCCAGAAATTTTTTTTTATGAAAAATCCCGGAAAATTATTTTATTAAAAATTGATCATATTAACTGAAAACAAAAACTTTTGTAAACTTTTAAAACGGAATTTAGATTATTTAACTTTTTACAAAAAGGAATTTCTAATATTCGAAAAAGTTAATTTGAATAAATTGAAAAGCAAAAAAAAAAAAAAAAGAAAGAAAATTTTAACTATAGAAAACATATTTGTTTAAATGCAAAAGTTGTCATTTTTAAAATTTTATGTAAAAATATATAATTTTTTTAAAACAAATTAGTTAAAAAAAAACATCCGGAAACTTTTGGAAATTTAAAGGAGTTTTAAGTGAATTTCCTGAATTCCGGGAATTCCTGGAAAAAACTCATCTATGCATTTTTGGATTTTTGGATGTTTCGGTGATAGCATGTTTCATCTTGGTCTATAAAAGATTAATTTTCTGCAAAGTTGCCAATAATTATTATGCTGGATCCATATTTTGTTTTAATGTGATTGAGATTGGGTAATTAAAGTAAAAAACAAAGAATGCATGCTTGCACAGTGTTATGATTGTCCTGGTAAAGCACTGCTACCTCTTTTTATGAGATTTTTGGAGAACATGAAGATGATTTTAAGATAAACTACGAGCAATGGCAAACTACAGATTGACAGCAAATGTTTCAAAATTTCTTGAACTATTGGTATTTTTGTTATAAAACATTACTAGCTCATGCTTTAAGACCCCACAAGTAAATCAAGTCTTAAAGACGGAGGGAAGTCTATTTTTTATGTCCCACGGAACGTCAACATAAGATGTGATCTGCAGTACTGTAAAAAGGTTGACAGCACAAGAAAGTTTGAAACAACCAAACTTTAACTAATTTCTTCTGCTTTATTCTCAACAACATATTGAAAAACAATCTGTTCAATAGGCTTGTTATAGTTCCAGTAGAAACTGTGTCTGAAAAAGCAAAAATAAAAGAAATACAAGTAAAATAGCAAAATTATTGTGAACAAGTGCTGTCAAAATAATTTATGCAGTAAATACATTAAAAAACTTGTATATTTTTCAGTAACATTTTGAATTACAGTTAATTTATCTTTATTGTTTATGCAAATACTGTTTATAAATTTTTTGAAAAAAATATTTTTAAAACTATAGCTCTATATGTTACAGTTATTTTTCCAGTTAGATTTTTGGTGACATGCAAGATTATAACTAACTAAAAATATTAAAAGCAACAAAAAAAAAAAAATTAAAAAATTGAACGGGGCTATTTTTTTTTTATGTCATAAAAATCTGATCATATTAGGAAACTTTAAAATTCAATTTTAAAATTGCCATATCTCGTCAACTGCTCAACATTTTTAGCTGAAATTTTGCATACAGTTTTTTTATAAATATGAATCATGTCTAAAGATAAAAAAAACGTGGTTCAATGGACTGGGTGATTGATGTGGAATTATCCAAGATCCAAGTAGACAAAAAGAGACACGGCTACAAAACTTACAGAAAGCAGAAGTTCAATGCAAGATCCCAATAACAATTTAGTAAACGCCAAAAAAATGTAGTAAAAAAATTATAATTGTATATGAAATGTGAGTATATATGAGTGAGTTGTATATAAAAGTGAGACATGTAAGAACAGCAAAATATCAGCAGAGATCAATAAACTCCACAGAAGAATTTGGAGTGTGGCATTACAAAATTTTTATAAAAACTGTTAAAAAAAAGCTTATGTAAGGTGTCTGCACTGCAAGATAACCACTTAATAAGTGTAATAAAAATTTATTAAGTGATTGTCAAAATATTCCAAAAATCGCATGGGTCATTCCGAATAGTCTTTACCTCTATTTAACTTTTTACACATCATTACATAAGAACTTTTTATATTTACAAAGAATTGCATGAAAACTTTTTACACATCATTACATCAGAATTATAAGGTTTTGAATTATTTGTCCTTTCATGCAATAAGAATTTAATAATTAAAGGCATCAATTTAACAATTTATGTTGAAAAAAAAAAACAAAAAAAAAAACATTTTTAAAAATTATGTTAACACTGTGTTAATATTTATATATTACATTTTTACCAAATTTAAATATGAAATGTAAGTAACATAATATGAACAATAACATAGTAAAATTCCCTTTGGAACCTCTTCATGCTTCCTTGCTCTATAACTATATTATTTTTTTCTAGTAACCCCCAACTTAATAGTGGTTGCTTGCAGTCTTGTTGGGAGTGAATCAGAACAAAAAAATATAATAAAATATCAGATAGAACCTATATAATTTATATAAATATCAGATAGAACCAATATAATTTTCATATGACAATTTTTAATAAACTGTTACACTATTTCTTCTTCTTTCAATATTTTATAAATAAACTATTATTTAAAAATTAATAAAAATTAATAAAAATTAATTTTGTTTCAGCGGGTGGAACCATTTTAGTTTTTACATGTTTAGAATTAAACCTCAATTTGAAGCAGCATTCAATTTGATTTGTAAAAAAGTCATATTTACATATCCATGCAAAATTGGAATGCTTTTAAACAAAATCTTTTTATTATTTTCTTACCATTTTCTTACAAATCTTTTTACCAAAATAGTAATACTTCTTAGCAAACTAATTCAAACTTTTAATAAGTATAAATCTTCAAAACATATTTGAAAAAAATACTACATTATTACTATTTGGAGAACATAAATTTCAAAAAAATATTTTCAAAAAAACACCTGCTGAGAGTACCTTAATAGCACATTAAGGTAGTCTCAGCAGGTGTTTTTACTATACAGTAAAAAAAAAAAAAAATATCTTTTTTAATAAAAAAAGATATTTTATTAAGATTAAGTTTAAATGTTCAAGGAGTTTGTGCAAACCCTAAAAAAATTGAATTAAAACTTTTTTAAAAACCAGAGTTATTTTATAAATAAATTTAATATATTTTTATTTTAGCATGTATATGTATTATGAACAACATATATAGATAAATTTTATATATTATGCTTTTAAAAGTAAAACGATGAATTGATAATTTTATAAGTAATTAAAAACTTGAAAGATTTTAATTATTTACCTTTTGTTGTCTCGATTAATTTTTGTAGTCTCGCAACAGTTAACATTGTAGCTTCTTGCTTTTCATTCATCACTCTACAATCATTTTCTAAATATCTAAGATGATCCTCATTATTTGGATTTCTTTTAAATGATTGCTCTCTAGATTTTTCAAGTGAAATCAATTTTAAAGTTTTGTTCTCAGCTTCCTGTTCTAAATCTGCTCCTGTCTGTTCCAAACAAGCTCGTTTTTTAATAAGTAAGCAATACTCTGAATTGAGCTCAGCTAGTCTTTGTTTGGCTTCTTCATAGCGCAAAATATTTTCTTCATATTTATTTTTAGCAGTACACAACTTATACTCCAACTTCATTATCTTATTATCTGATTCTAATTCTTTCTCTTCTAATACTCTTCTGTGCAATTCACTTTGATCAATTTGAATTTCAATGGCTTTCAACTTATCAGCTACTTCACAGCGCTGTTGGTCCACATTAATAATTTTCATTTCACTGCTTTCTAGCTTTTTCATCAAAGATTCTTTTTCATTAAGCATATTTTCAAGATGTCGTTTAGATGATCGAAGTGCTGATTCAAATAACTTGATCCTGTCTTCTGAATACTGCGATTGCTCTATCATATCAAGAATTGCTTCTTTAACTGCCTGCATCTTCTATGCTGATTTAATTCTTAATTCTTTTTTTTCATAAGCAAAAAAGAGCAATGATTAAAAAATTGTCAAGACAAATAAGAAATTTTACAATAAAAATATAAATATTTCTATTTATGAAAAATTGGTAAAATACCATTAAATATTTAAATACCACACATTTGTTTAATATTTTGAGAAAAATAAAAATTTGCAATATATATATATATATATATATATATATATATATATATATATATATATATATATATATATATATATATATATATATATATATATATTTCTACTATAGCGTTGTATAGATAGTTTTTAATCTTCATAGCATACAGTATTTTCAAAAAAAGAAGAAAAAAACAAAGAATAAAGAAAGAAAAGATTGCTACTTCATATCCATGTGTGTACTGAAACCCCTGGCAAAAGGCTATTTCAATGTGGTGTCAGACATGTTACATACATTTCTTTGCATATTTAGTCTACCATATAATTTTGCTAATGATGTCATATTAAAACATAGAGTGGGGTTTCAGTTCATACATTGACTGAAGATTTAGGTTTAAGCAAATAGAGAATAGCTGTTTTTCCACAATACCATGATAATTGTACAATAATTAAAATAATATTTAAAATTTTATCTGTTTTTATGAAAACTCATTTAATACTGAGACATTTTCAACATTCAATACTGAAAAGTTTTATAAAATAGTTTTTAACTGCTACAAATGCTCAGAAGTTTCTAAAAATTTTCAGAAATATGTAAAAGTTTCAAGGAACTTTTAGAAGTTTAAAAATTCCCGGACTGTCAAATAATATTCACACAAGTGACTAAAACTAACATTCTGTTGCTAAGTAAGAGAATGATGAATTATAGTTAATAAGAAATTATCATTTGATTTACATGGCATCAAGAGGCTGTTTGCACCTAGAGTCTCATTTTGTTATGCATGGGGACAAATTATAGGCAAAAGTGTTAAAGTTTCCTGCAAAAGCCATTATAATGAGTAAAACACAAACTTTTGCTCGCCTGTCAAAGATCAAAATAAATCATGTGCATTTTCATAAAATTTTTCACCCCAAGCTTATTAAGATTATTTATTAGACTATCAATTTTTACTTTAAATTAGTTGATTTTAACAATTTTTGTTATCAACAAAATAATAATATCAATATAAATATCAGTCACTAATAAAAATAAAATCTTTTAATGTAAACAAGCTGTAAAAATTGCCAACCTATAACAAAATCTACATTATCTCGAAAAAGAGCTGTCGATTTATTCCTCATATATCAGTGGTGTACACTGGATTTTTAGATGCTTGAGTTTTGACACTTACAGGTATTGTGCAAACTCCAAACTTTTGTATGTTCATGCTTATGTCAAATGAAAATATTTTGCAAAGAGTTGCGGTGATAAGAGCTTGGGAACAAAAAAAACCCCAACTTTTGGGCCCACCCAGCCATTAATGTGGGAGCAACAAGTTGATAAAATAATTTTTATCTAAGTTTATAATCATCAACAAATTTCAAATTTCATCCAATAATTTCTTATTTTTCGAAAATTATGACCATATAAAGTTTTAACCCCCCTCAATTTGAGGTGGCTGTAAACTTTGTAGGGTCATAAAAACTAAAAACTAAGAGGTTATTGCATGAAACTTGAAATTTGTTGATTAATATAAACTTAGATAAAAATACTAAAAAAAATATTTTATCAACTTGTTATATATATATATATATATATATATATATATATATATATATATATATATATATATATATATATATATATATATATATATATATATATATATATATATATATATATATACATATATATACATATATATATACATACATATAAATATATATATATATATATATATATATATATATATATATATAATATATATATATATATATATATATCACTGGATTTTTAGATGTTTGAGTTTTGACACTGACACACATTTTGCTAACTCCAAACTTTTGTATGTTCATACTTTTGTCAAATGAGAATGTTGTGCATAAAGTTGTGGTGATTGGAGCTTAGGGAAAAAAAACCCCAATTTTTGGGCCCACCCAGCCCTTAACGTGGGAGCGTTAAGGGCTGGGTGGGCCCAAAAATTGGGGTTTTTTTTCCCTAAGCTCCAATCACCACAACTTTTTGCACAACATTCTCATTTGACAAAAGTATGAACATACAAAAGTTTGGAGTTAGCAAAATGTGTGTCAGTGTCAAAACTCAAACATCTAAAAATCCAGTGATATATATATATATATATAATATATATATATATATATATATATATATATATATATATATATATATTTAAATATATCTATTTAAATATATATATATATATATATATATATATATTTAAATTGAAAATCTTTATTTTTAATAAAATTTAAATCAAAAATTTTAATTTTCATAAAAACTTTTTTTATTTTATTAAAAACTTAAAAAAAAAACCTTCAAATTGATGTGAAAATAAATGTATATTTATGAATAATAAATACAATGCAATATTAAATTGCAAGCATGTAGCTATTAAGAATACAAGCATAGTTCAAGGCTTGCTTAATTTTTTACCAATAAAAAGTCTAGTTACTAAACTTGTTCAATTTAAATAGGAATTTCTACCTCTGTAGAAAGCTACATTTTTATCTGTTTCTTGAACTTTAACTTCATACAGAAGTTGCGGTTCATCCATAACCAATTTTAGACTATTCCAGATAAACACAACAAGATTTTCTGCAGTTGATACTTTATTCTTAAACCAAGGCACATCCATATCAAGATTTTTGTGATCAAGAGCATCAACTACACATACTTTCATATAATCCCTTAATGTGGTTAGATTCATAACCATTCCTGTTTCTTCCTTTATTGGTCCATAAAGAGTAACCTAAAACAAATTGTATGTTTTGAGAACTTTAGGCACAAAATTGACTAAAACCATTATCTATGCACAAACGTAAGTCTCCAATGACAAGTTTAAATTCTAATGATCAAATAAAAAAATGGCTGAGAAAATACAAATGATCACTAGTAACATAATGACATAATTTGCTTATGACAAATTTTGTGAGACCATTAGTTTCACTAATTTCCAACACAACACATCATTGTATAATGCAAATATATCACACTAATATGATATCATGGAGATAATTACATATAACAAATGGTCACATCTAATAAATAATAAACATATATATTATCGTTTGTAAAAAATGAAGCATGTTTTGATATTTGATATACATTTTTTTAAATTATAATCATAATATAGAGTTGACCTATGACTGTTTGGTATGTGATGTCAATATTTATATAAAACTTTTTTTCAAAAATTTAACTCATTTACATGAAAATAATTTAAGTGTAGAAATTGAAAAAAAAAATGTTGGCTAAAATAACTTTATAGAAGATATTATATTTATTAGAACCATTAAGTTCTAGAACATATTTTCATGTTTTATAAAGTCTAAAAATATTTTTATTTGGTGCTTATAATTTGAAATATGACTATTTGAACTTTGGAATTTTTTTTTAAATCATAATTAAATTGAAAAAAAAAATTTCTAGCCGTTATAAAAGTTTTAAATTAAAAGAATTTTTGAAAACATATTGAATTTAAATATTTAAAAAACTATTCAACTTTGAACCTTGAATTATATTAATTTTTTAATTATATAATAATTGGTAAACATAGTTTTAAAATACATATTGCAAATGAAATTTTTCAACTCTTATAGTAATATTTTGTAGAGAAGCAGAAATAATCACTTAATAAAACAACGTATTGTTTGAACTTTTTAAGTGATTACCTTAATTTTATAATTGTGGCCGTGGCCATTTTTATTATTACATTTCCCATAAATTTTAAGATTTTCTTCTTCCGAAAGTAGGCAACTATGCAGGCGATGTGAACAACTTACAAATTCTGATCGAGTTAAATAAACATATGGCTGCTGCGTATTTAACATGGATTTTTCCATATCTAAATAATATATTGAAATGTAAAAGTTACAATAAATAAAAAGAATACAGCAGTCAAATACTTTATAGCTAACTGAATTAACTTTAAATATAATCATACTATGTATAGGTGACTAATTTCCGGTTTTTATGTAGGAGAGCGCAGAACTAAATTTTCATTGTGTTCTTCTACAATAGGAAAAAAAAAAAAAAAAAAAAAAAAAACGGGATTAAGGCAATCCTAATGTACGCTAATAAATATATAATGCCAAAAACATTTTTGTGTAAACACGGGTAAAGTAAGTAAAACAATAAGGTTAAGTAAAATAAAGAACTTCATCCTAAACGCTACAGTGGTTTATTTTGCACATTTTGTGGACATTTGACTATACTTAGGAAAAATCTCTTTGTGCGACATGGAAAAACAAAACATGGTCATAATATATGTTTTTTGCTTAATTTTTAAAGTTCCATCATTAAATAATACTCCTGAGGGCATACCATAACTCTAGGACACCAAAATAACACACTGCAAAATACCCTAAAAAAGGTCAGTATTAACATTTTTTCAGATAGGTATACATAGTCAAAAATCATGTTTTAAGGGTAACCTTTCAAGCTTTATCCATTAAAAATACTCTTATGTTCATCACAATGATTGCACTATAGACTCAAGGACACCTAAAGGGCACTTTAAAGCATGGGTTACAAGATATAATACAGGGTTCTTATATTAAGTCTAAATACATGTTTTTACATCAGTTGGATAAAAAAATATTCCGCTAAAAATATTCACAAAATCATAAAATATATAAAGGACACAAAGAACACACACTGAAAAACATAAAAAAAGACACTAAAAAGGAAAGTCATTAACTTTTCTAAAATAATTATATAGTCGTCATATGTTTTTGAAATATTTTTTTAAGCTTCATGAATTAAAAAAATCATATAATCACTGTAGGCAGGGCCGGCGCGAGTAGGTGTCACGTGGGGGGGTGCCACCACATTTTGCCGACTAAAAAAAAAAAAAAAAGGTCCTCGTCTTCCAAAATTTGCCGACTGTCTACATTACCGACTAACCTATATCGAAAGGGTAGACATTTGCCGACTAACTAGTCTAAAAGGGTCCAATTTACCGACTAAAAATCATTAATGGGGGGGGGGGTGTCACACACCCCCCTATCGCGCCGGCCTTGACTGTAGGACACCAAAATGTTTGATTTAATTAGTTATTGTCTATTAAAATAAAGTTAATATACGATGTTACATGTGTTTTTAATTGCCATACATCTAAAGCGATAAATCTAGGGCCCCATAAAAATTTTAAATGAATGAAACATTTTTTCTATTATTTGTCAAATTTTAAAAGTTCGATGATCTTGTTGTGGTTTTAAATACGAAGATTTGAAGACTAAAAACTTTTAAATTAAAAGCACTTTTAAGTAGTTAAGCAGTTAAGTCCATCATCAGCAAACTAATTGTGGTGGTTGAATGCATCGGAGAAATTCCAATATCACAATTAGGAAACAATCAGATACCAGGCAATTATTATAAAACAATTTGTTTCTACCATCAAAATTCATATTTTTATTTGTATGATTTTTAAACTTATATAAATAGAGTAAATACTTTTATGATAACATTATTTTGAAATAAGAAAGTAAAATTAATTATAAACAATTAAAAGCACAGTAAAATATTTAAAAAAGAAAAATAATAATAACAAAAACAATAAAATATGGCAACACTAGAAGAATATTGCTTAACAGAGCATCAATTATTTACTTTAATAATTGACAACAATGTCACTCATGCATCTGATTTGACTACCATAATAGAAAATGAAACGCAAGCTAGGTTAGGAGAAAATGAAGTTGGAATACTAAAAATTATTTTGCAAAAATTTCAACATTTGAAAGAAAAAGTTAAAATTAGAAAAAGACGCTTTTTTAAAATATGAATCAAAAGATGTCATTATAAGAATAAGTCCAAAGACTAAAAAAAGTAGCTCAGTCTTTGAACCTGCTGATAAGAATGATGAAGAAATCAGTCCGTATAGGATGATAAAACATTGGTCAGCCCTATCAAGGAAACGTCAGTTAAGAAGATCACAAAAGCTATGGGAAATGTGCAGGTATTATAATTAGTTGCATATAATATATATATATATATATATATATATATATATATATATATATATATATATATATATATATATATATATATATCATGTTTTATTATTATTTATAGGATTTCGCTAAAAATGAAACAATGGATGCTAAAAGTGTGTGTGAATTTTTCTAACAAGATGTGAAGGAAAAAATAAAACATTAAAGTTGAAAATACCGACAGTGACAGCGGCTGCTATTTGTTATGAGTCAAATTTAGGTCGAATGACTTATACTCAGCAGAGAAAAATGCTAAAAGCAAACAGTATAGATGTATTTCCAACCTGGAAAGAAATTCAATTATTCCGAAATTCTATCACTCTATTGACAACAAGTTATCTTCCAGATCCTTTTGTTGGTGTCTAAGCAAGTTTTATTGAATCTACCAAGATTACTATTGAGAGAATTTTGAGGCTTGAAGGTATTTCCGTTTTTTCTAGAGAAAACAGCTTTACGCTAGAAGTAAAATTCGACTTCGATGGAAGTGGTGGACACAAAATTTACAACCAACTGCACAATGTTAACACAAGCAACAATATTATGGCAATATTTTGTCCACTTAAAATTTTAAATCATGAAAGTATTAAATTGTGGGAACAGCAATACCCTAACTCAGAGTCTAATCAAAGACCACTTATGATTCAAATGGGGAAAGAGTCAAATGAAAATATCCGATCTCTTTCTTTATTTAATGAAGACATACAGTGTATGAAGGAAGACGGAATTATTGTTAAGCATAATCAAAATGATTACCATGTTAAAGTAAATATTGTCGCTCATAGTTTAGACAGAAAGGCTTCAAATATTTATCAAGGCCTTGGAGGTTCATATTGTGATCTTTGTGACCTTTCAAAAGAACAATGTGAAAATATACAAACAGTTCAAGATGGTTTCATCATAAACAGGGATGTTAAATCCATGCAACAAATATTTCTTGACTTAGTAAATGAGGAAGGGACCATTTTGAAAAAAAAAAGGATTACGAAATTCGACACGGTCAAACTACATGTCCAATTGCATGTTCGAATGTTCAATCCATTCAGGTTTTACATGATTTGCTCAGGAGCAAGCTTTGATCATTTTATGAAGGTAGTTGTTCACATGGCGGCAGGTGTCTTAACTTGGAAAGAGTCTAAGTTAAACAACAACACAACATTGCTGAAAGAAGAAAAAACAAGACTACAAGAAATTATCCGAGTTAAAACAGGAATAAAATGGGGTATTGCAGAATCAACCGGACAAAAGGGCAATACAATAACTGGAAATGTTGCCAGAAAACTTTTACATATTAATGTAATGCAAAAGGTTATTACAGATCACATATCAAGTCAAACTGACTGCAAGCTATTTGAAATGTATGGCTTGCTTCTTTCCACTATTCTGAGAGCAATGTCATCTGACAAAAAAATTAATATTAAACTATACAAACAAATGTGTCAGGAGCTAAAAATCTTGCTTCTAAAAGAATTTTATTTAGTAAGTATAACTCCAACGCTGCACAAAATTCTTGCTCATAGCTGGGAGTTGATAGAAATAAACGATTCCACCGGTTTGAAATCTTGGAGTGAAGAAGGAATGGAAGCAATAATAAGCGTCTCAGATACTTCAGGGAAAAACTATCAAGAAAAATTAATCACTTGGTCAATATAGAAGATTGCTTTAAAAGACTTTGGCTGGAGTCTGACCCATTAGTTGCAGAAGAACGGAGCAAAAGGGCTGTTATTTTGCAAAAACTGCTTGGATAGAGGGCATTCTAAACGCTTATGTATGCGCAGAAGTGCATCAGCTGATGATATTTTAAACAATCTTTTTGTTTGTAAATAAATTAATTTTGTAACATATGTGTATTTGTTAATTTTTCAAAACCAAGTTCTTAGACTTTAACCTTAGGATGGCAATTTTAAAACTCATTTTTTTTAAAAAACCGCTGAAGGCCAACTTAACATAGCAGCAAATGAAAGCTTTTATTTTGTATTTCGGAAATCATATAAGGCTTAGTATGGCGCCATTAGCGGTTTTTGAGATATTCACCGAAATGTTCAAAAACTATAACAAAATCATGTGCAAAAATTCACAAATTCAAAAATATTTTTTTATGTAGGCTCTTTATCCCTTATTGTTAAATAATAACTTTTCAAGTTTTAGATCAATTATCTTCTTTTTTTCATCACTTTTTTCCGAGTGGTTTTAAAGTGTGTTTTTTCTTCCAAATTGTTCAAGTTTGCATGGCCGTAACTTTATAAATAGACAAAAATTTTAACTTTTTTTTATAGCTTAAATCTGCATGCTATTTAAGTATACAAAAATTAAGTTAAGTTTTAATTTCAAAAAATTAAATTTTTTACTCATGTCCACCATATAAACCACTGTGAAATGGTCTTGTTTTGCAGCGGCAATTTTAATTTGTAGAATTTTGTCATATTTTATATAGTTTTAAGATTATCCTTAGTCCATTAGTTATAATATGAAAAAAAAAAATAGCATTCTCTATTTTAAAAACAGTTTGATTTGATTAAAAGATTAAACGCAGTGATGAATCAAAAACTTTAAATACTTTTTCTCAGAACAGCACAAGAATAGACTTCAGATCTTAAAATCTAACATTTTTATTTAATATATACACTGTTAATCTAAAAGGTTTTTCGCGGTTTTTTTTGAAGAACCTTTAAGTTCTTGAAAAAAACTTAAGGCTCTTTGAAGAACTTGCGGGTAATATATATATATATATATATATATATATATATATATATATATATATATATATATATATATATATATATATATATATATATATATATATATATATATATATATATATATATATATATATATATATATATATATATAACAGCATCTTAAATCTAAAATAAAGAGAATTTTTTGTGAATGCGTTTCTTTAAAAACAATAGCACTTTAGTTCCAATAAAACAAATATATTAAAATCTCAAACTTGAAATTATATACGTGTATAATTTTTCCTCGTGAAAAAGAAAAATGGCGCTCTGTAAATTAGTGGCTATATTAAACTATACCTAAAATATACGGTTTTTTTTTTTAATTATTTTTAGGTGTCCCAAGAAGACCTAACGGTCTTGTCACAGAGCTCCGCGGAAGTGCATTTAACCAGGAAGTTCACGCCTCCTTCCTTACCGTGACGCGAAAATATGTCCAGACCGCTTATAAAGCAGGCGCTCGAACCACTGCGGTTAAAGTCCGTAACTTAAAGTTACGGAAACTTCTCCTTATCATAAATACGTAAAAATTTATATAAAGTAGTGTGATTATTTCAAAAGTCTTAAAAGTGTAGGTAAAGACCGTAATTTATTGAAAGAGGATTTTTTCCGTAACATAACAATGGAAAAAGTCTGATAAATACTACGGAGTTTTTTTACAGTGTTGTTGATCTTCTGTGAATACAAATAAAGATTTATTTAAGTACATAGTCTACATTATATTCTTTAAATGTTTATACCAGGGATCTTACTTGCTGCTGCCAAGTCAAACTTGATGTTAAATTTAAATGTTAAAATGCGGCTCTCCAGCTCCATGCACAAATACTTTTAAAATATTGAAAACAAGATGTTAGTAGCTCTTTAAAAACTGAAAGTTTTTATAATTTGTAAACTTTGGCTTTTCCATCTTAAAAGATTGCTAACTCCTTGTTTATGCAAATTATCAAATGTATTATTTTGTTATACTAGACTCTATTAAAAATTAGTGTTGTAACCAAAACTAGAAATTGTAACTAACTAAACTAAAAAAACCGTAACTAAAATTAGTCGACTAATTTTTTAGTTAACTAAAATTACCCGAATAACCTTTAGTTAACTTAAATTACCAAACTAACTTTTTAGTCTAACTAAAATTAGTCAAGTAATTTTTTAGTTACCTAAAAATAGTCGACTAAGTTTTTACTTAACTCAAAATACCCGACTAACCTTTTAGTCACCCGACTAACATTTTAGTTAACTAAAACTAATCGATTAAGTTTTTAGTTAACTAAATTTACGCGACTTTGTTTTTAGTCCAACTAAAGAAATTTATAAATATATAATATAAATAATTTGGGTTCATGATATCATTTCTATAAAAATTTTTGAATAAGTTTGCTAATACATGATCATTATACCGCATAATACCGCCAAAAAAATGTCGAAATAATTATCTTTCAATTTTTAGTGCCAAAGGTTTAACGAGATACCTTAAGAAAATATTTCATAAAAAATCCAAAAACTAAACATGGTAAAACACAAATATCTTTAGAATTGAATAAGCTACCAAGGCCAGCGCAAAAGGGTGAGGGGATGGGGCGGTTGGTTTTGTGTGTGACACCCCATCAATGAAATTTTAGCTCGTTTAGTAAGCCAATTTGACTAATTTAGATAAGTAAGTCGGCAAATGTAGATTTTCAGAACAATCACTTGGAAAATTTAAAAAAACAAGGATTTTTTTTTCCTTTTTCTAGTCAGCTAAAATTTTACCGGCGCTCTCTACGTGTTAAATACTTGTACCGGCCCTGTAAGCTACAGTATACTACAATAATTTGTTTTTATTATTTGCCACTTTTTTGGATCCAAATAATAAAAGTTTTCAATTCTTTGAAAAGTATTAAAAAAAAAAAAATTAAAATGCGTTAGAGAATTTTTGTCGGAATTTCATTTTACAAAAAAAGTTTGTGATATAACTCCAGTTAAAAATGTGACAATCAAAAAAATTTAAGTTATCATTTGACGATGAAGATGATGATTGCGGAAATGATAGTGACAAAATAATAAATTTAGATTTAAAAAAAGAAATTAGTGGTTATATAAAATTGTCAGTAAATGAGCAAAATGTTTTTACAAAATGTTTTTTTGTTTTTAATTTAGTTTAATTTAATTAATTCGTTAAATTTAATACTTTTGGCATCAAAATCAACATTTGTTTCCAATATTGTATTGTATTTCAACAATATTTTATGTACGCCTGCTACCAGTGCACCAAGTGAACGCCTTTTCTCTGACGCATTAAACACTTTGTATGCAAAAGCGAAACAGAATGACAACTAAATGTTTTCAAATGTTGATGTTTTTGTACGAAAACTTGTAACTTTTTCATTTAGTTTAAATTCATTAAATTTAATACTGAGGTTTTTTAAATAAATATTTTTGATACATTTTATTGTTCTTAAATAAATATAATTAAGTTTAGTATTCGAACTCTTTTGTGTGAAACTGATTATTTTTTTGTTGCAAAAATATAAAAAATTAATATAGTTTTTTAAATTTAAAATGTGTTGAAAAAATGGTAAAGAAAAAATTAAAAATTAAAAAAATTAATGTGTGATTTTAGTGTTCTCGAGTGTGCGGTTTTATCATAATGTTGTCTTAAACTGCAAACTTTTTTTATTTTCTTTATTACTTTGATAGTTAGATTTTTTTTATTATTATTATTTGTTTATATACTCTTCAGTATTTTTTTTAACATCTAATGAAAAAGTATAAAAATAAATATAATAAAGAAGTTATTGAATTTTAATTGATAATTGTTTTGATAATTGTTTTTACATGTATTCTAAAGTGGTTAAAAATTACGTATTGCATTTTTCAAGTAGTTAAAATGTCATAAACAATTTCCTGGTTTTAAAGCGACCGCAGTTACTTAATAAAATGTTTTCATTATTCAACAGTTAAGCATTATTTAATGCATTTTATACACTATTCAACAACTTATATTGCGGAAATTGCATTCTAAAATGCAAATACCAATCTTCCTTAAAATTTTTGCAAATCTCGCCAACCAACTAACAACTATACTCAGAAAGCAATAATTATATTCATAATAACTTATTTAACAATTACCTTTTGTGTTTATGTCAATACTTTCGCTTGCTTAACTGTAGTGTTTGCGGGCTATAATAGTCGGGAGAGAAGACGCAACAATAAGGTTCGTATGTTGCGTATGGAATTTGTGGTGGGGGTTACGTTAACATTACAATAAGTTTAGGGAGGGTTAATAAAGGGAGGGAATTTAACGCTCATTTATAATTTTTAAGTGAACACAATATTTTTATATCTTCTATATTTGGAAGAATTAGAATGCAAAATGTTTCTACTGCATTGTTTCTAATTTTTTTTTTTATACTGTATTTTTCAATCTACTATATTTTGTTTGGCTTTTCTGTCGTTTTTCTTAATTTTTTTTTTTGTATTTGGGGTGGTTATCAATTGTCAGGAGAGATTGATATTTGAAGGGGTGGGGCGTCGTAGATTTGTTGTGAAAATTAGAGATTGAATCCATTCCTAAAATATGGCAGGGGACAGGGCCGTACAGAACGACGAAGACATGGGGAGGGGAATGCAAATGAAAAGAGCTTTTTTACCATAAAAATTTCACCAAAGTAAGGCTTTTTTTAAATTTTTTTTAAATTTAAATTTCAGTTTTAACCAACAGAGTCCCAAATTACCGACAGAACATTGTGAACCTGGGAAGGTGCTGACACCCCCGTCGGTACGGCCTTGGCTCGGAAGATTATTTTTGATGTGCGATTATTATTGCACGCTACCTATAGGACGCAAAACATAAAAAACATAAGTTAAACGCTCAATAAGCGTACCAAATTTGATTTAATTGACTAAAGGGGATTATTTGTATATTCTATGCTGATTGGGTGTTTATAAAAAGTTGCAACAACCTCATAGGCAGTTGTTTTCGAGCTGGGGAAAAATAAAAATAATCGAATTTTGCTTAAAACATTTTTTTTGAAAAACAGTTTAGTTCGACTGGGCTCTAGGATTCACAATTAATAAAGTGTTTAATTAAGATAAAATAATATTTATCGCCTTAATAGAGCTTCCTGATATGTAAAATATTTATACTAAAGATTCTTTCTTTTTTCAAGAACTAAATAATGCTTTAGTCGATTATATTTAGTTATACTAAATATTTAGTCTACTAATTTGAGTTAACTAAAAAGTTAGTTGACTAATTTTAGTAACACTAAAAAGTTAGTCGGGTAATTTTAGTTAGCTTAAAAGTTAGTCGGGTAATTTTAGTTAACTAAAAGTTAGTCGACCAGTTTTAGTTAACTAAAAAGTCAGTCGACTAGTTTAAGTTAGACTGACTTTTAAAAGTTAGTCAGCTAATTTTAGTTAACTAAAAAGCTAGTTGACTAATTTTAGTTACACTAAAACTAACCTTAACTCCCACCCCTATTAAAAATAGTTTGCTTTCGATGTGATATTGGATTAGATCTAAAGTTAAAGTAAGGAGTATTGGCACATTCACGTTTTATACATGTACATAATTTACACATGTACATAAATTATGATTAAAATAATATGACGAATATTTAACATTATCTAGGACTAGGTCTGTTGACGGTTACGTTGGTTACTACCGTTATCCCAAATGACCCAAATGCTAATGTTACTCATGCAAAAACAATATATATATATATATATATATATATATATATATATATATATATATATATATATATATATATATATATATATATATACACACACATATATATATATACATATATATATATATATACACATATATATATATATATATATATATATATATATATATATATATATATATATATATATATATATATATATATATTTATATATATACATATATACATACACAAATCTATATATCTTTGAAATCTTTGATTTTTTTCTAAGATATTTTTCTATATATCTTTGAAAAAAATCAAATCTACTTAAACACACAACAAATATAATACGAAAAATTAAGGTTAAAAACTATTTTTCTTAAAATAACCTTTTTTCACAATATGACCAAATATGTAAAATAACCTGTTTTTACAATATGACCAAATATGTAAAATAACCAGTTTTACTAATATGACCACCCTAGTCAAAAAATCCTATAGGGTCCTATAAGAATTTGGAACAAAAAAAAAATTTAAGATTTGAACCCATTAAATTAAAACACATAAGTTAAAAAGTGTTCTAAAATCCTATAGGTCCTATAGAAGTTTTTGGCTAGGGCAAATATGTAATATAACCTGTTTTCAAAGCTCAATTTGACCAAATATGTCAAGCCATATCACACCCAATAACGTAACACTGTATGTTATATAAAATAAAAACGTTAAAGCACGACCACTAAAAAAATAACTGTATAATAATTTTTGTAAATTAAAATAATAGAAACCTCTAAAGTAAGAAAAATTTAAATATAAAAACTAGATGCAACAAATTATATGAGCTATCAATAACATCAATAAAAACTCTTTGGAAATATCAATTAAAATAAAAAATAGTATACATCGCGTTTGCTCATCCAGAAACTTTTTACATGCCTAATGATAAAACTTTAAGATCAATTTTAAAAAAATAAGCAAAAGCCTTGATGTTGTTTATATTTGTTATATTATATTGTCCTAACATATTTAAACTTTTTCATTTTGTCTTTTCCTCTTTAAAATGAAGTTTTTTCATCAGCTTCTCCTTGAAGCTTTTTTGTTTTTTAAGTTTCTGGGAAGATTTCCCATCAAGATTGCTCTGAACAGATCCTGATTCGCTGTTAAGAGATGGAGTCAAACAATTATCTGTGCTCCCTAGGTCACTTTTTAAAGGCGTAAATGTTAAAACAGTTGCACTTCCACAATGGTCTGTGCTACCCCTATCATTTTTTAAAGGTGTTGTTGTTATAACAACCCCACTTTCATTCGTTTCTACAGTGGAACAAACTTGGTTATCAACTGTTATTCGTGGTTCAGGTTTGGTTGGTACGACATCAAGACAAACTTCTTTATTTCCAGTATTGCCATTTTGAATTGCACAAGTAACTATTTCTGTTTCATTAATAAAAACATCATCTTGGACTGAATTTGTTTTAACGCCTTCGTCTAACAGGGTAGCCTTTATAAGACATAAAACGAAAAAAAGTTTCGAAAAAATATATTAAATAAAAAAAAAAAAACTATAAATTTTAACTCACTGGTGCTGGACTTTCCTTAACATATTGCGTAGCCAAAACCGGACTGTTAAGCCACTTCATTTTATTCTGATAACTGTTTCCCATACCCAGTGAAGGACTACGTGATTTAGTTTCACAAAAATCATAATAAACATGATAAGGCATTTCTCTGTCTGAAGTGGCCTGAGGAGGGAGACAGCAGTCAGGCATTTTTTTTGATGATTTACCAGAAATAAATACATCTGGCATGTGGTAAGTGTAGCCAGTTCTATAACCCTAATACAATAAAAATAGCCTAAATTTTCAAGCAAAAATAGAAAGGAAAAAAAAAAAGAAAAAAAATAAAAGGAAAAAAGGAACTTAAACATATGATACAAAAAAGTTACTTGGGAGTCTAATAAACGCATATGAGCCTCAAAAAAACATTCATCGAGAGGTATTTGACATCTTCCCTCTCCATAAAATATACTTCTTCCTTTTTCCTCCATTATTTTTTGAACTTTCTCATAAGCTTCTTCGCTAATAATATTTAAGTTTTCCAATCCAACAGACAAAGCTTTGACCTAAAAGTAAATTTCGAAAAAATCAAAAATAACATTATAATAAGAACAACAATCAAATAAATTTTTTTTTAATAAAATATTACTTGTGCTGCACAAGCTTCCATAACATTAAAGAGTCTATGGAATGCATCTTCAATAGAAGTACCACACACAGCAACACCATGATTACGTAGAAATAATATCTTAAAATATATGAAAAAACTATACTTGTTATTAAGAAAAAAATATGACAAAAGATTTCAAAAATGTTTAAAATTTAAATAAAAAACTGTATAAGAATTAAATAGAGCAAACAATTGATGAGAAAAAATTTGATCAGGCTTAAAATAGAACATGACCACAGTTTTATTTTCAAAAGAAAATATAACCACAGTTCACAGCCAAACAAAAAATATATAAAAGTAAAAATTTAACATAACGCTTTTAGACTCTTTCTATTTTTGATTTTAAAGAGAATGTTTAAAAAAAAATGTTTAGGGTGAACTTTTTTGAGTAATAAACGTATACCAAGAACAACAAAATAATAAACGTATACCAGAAAATAACTTTGTAGTTTTAGATGTTATAATTTATTCAAGAGTGTTTTATTTTTAAGAGTTGAAAAAATGATGTCATTGTATTTATGCCATAGTATTTATATATCTTTTATATATTTAAAAATTTATATACATTACATATTTTTTGTTTTCAAAATATGGATTTCTTATCATTTATTTCCTAAAAGTATTAAAGAATGCAGAATATAAGGATGTTTTTTAAAGAATATTTTTATTGTACTCTCCTAAATAGAATAAATATATTTAAAAAAATGTAAATCACCTTATTTAATCAAAAAAATTTTATTTTCATGTAAAGTGTAAACTTTTTTTTCTAATTTTATCGGTACAAATTTTTTTTTTCTCTTATCTAAATGACATTTTACAAATTCTTAAATTTTTAAATAATAATTAATTTTGGCAAATGACAGCAATCATTAAAGATATTTGACAAATTCTTTAAATTAGAAAATATTGATGTTTATGTTGACTAAGTTCAAATTATAATTTGCATATAAATATAAAAGTTCACTATTTTGTATTTCAATTTTGATAACTATTAAAATGTTGGCAACTCCATACCAATTAGAACCTCTTAAAAAAAAGATGTATGATAAAAAAACCTGTATGGATTAGAGTTGTTAACTGGAAGAATTTGTACCATCCCGGAAAAATAAAATTCTTTCAGAAAGATATTAGGAATCAGGAACTTTATTTTTTCGTACTGAATTCTACGAAACAAAAAAAAAACACTTGATGTTCATTTTACAAATGCTTCTTCCGAAATGTAGCCTTTTGCAAGTTGAATTACGAAAACTATTTTGCTACATATGAAAGTAGTGCTAATGGAAGTTGCATATGCAAAACAAGCTCTTTCACTAAACAACATTTTAAAGTCTATAAAGAAAGTCTGATAGCCAAAAGGGTATAAATGTAAAAAAATAAAATTCTTATATACCAAAATGTTTAAATTAAAATGTTATTTTTGGTATTGGAACATACTAACATTTTAAAGATTTATTTTTTGAAATAATGATAAAAAACAAAATTTCTTTCGAAACGAAACTATTTCGCACCGCAATTTGCGAAACAGTTCTTGAAGGAAAAAAAAATACAAAACATGGCATAATAAATATATTTAATTACGTTTGATGAATCAAATATGTAAAATTAACAAGGTAACTTAAAAAATACTAATTCTTATAAATATATTGATCTTGATAAATTTCAGTTGTAAACGTTAATAAACCAAGAATTTCATAAAATATACTTACAATGTCATTCAATAAACAAGAGTTAAATAATGAACATAACTTGAACAACATTAACTTTCCCATTTTGGGGCAAAAAAAAGAAAATTTAGAGCATGTAAGTCATTTGTTTAGGATTATGTAGATTTGCCTAAAACAAATAATACATTTGTATTATGTCAACATTATAAAACAAAGTATCCCGAGGACAATAGTAAATGGAAAATAAAATGGTCCGGCGATTTCACAAGCAACATAATTTGGTATCTAAAATCTGTTCATAAAATATTTGGACCAAATTGTAATATCAAAAGACAAGAACATGATGTCCTTCACGGTTTAGATTTGGAAAAAAATGAAGAAATAGAAGTTGATGAAAACAGCTATATTATTAAAAGTTTATATTAACAAGACAAGAAGTTATAACTGAAAAATTACTTGATTTCCTGCTCAAATCAAATAAACCGATAGCCTAGTAAATCACCAATAATTTATTGATTTTGTTCCAATCATTTATTGGTTTTAAATCAATCACCAATCATTTATTGATTTTAAATCAAGATTATAAACTGCTTCAACAACAAACAATATCATACACTTTAATTCCGAAAATGGTAAGTATTGTAAATGGCCTTAACGTATTGCAAAAATTGAAGTCTTAAGTTTTAAAAATCTTTGCGTACGCCTTGGCCTTGAAACTCTTAATCTTGGCCTTGACCTCAAAATTCCCGGCTTTGGTTTTGTCCTTGGCCTACTAACTTGTGGTCTTGGCCTTGGCCTTGCTAACAACTCTGGTTCGTACACACATGATATTTGGACTTGAATTTTGCAAGAAGCCTATTTAAGTGCTACTTTTCATTATGTTGATAAAAAACTTTCTAGTTGAGTTCTGGGTTTATATCACTTGATCGAACCACATAAATCTCCATAGATCACTTCAAAAATCAAGAAATATTACAAGAATGTAATATCGAAAATAAGTAACAAAATTACAGACAATTAATCCATAGATTGCAAATGCAAGTTTCTATTTATGCAAAGACGTAAAATAAAACCATAAAGTTGATTATAATGATTGTTTACATATATGCCTCTGTAAATTAATAAAAAAAATGTTATATTAAATTTTTTTTTTTATGTAGACGTATTTTTTATGATAAATTTAAACGTTTGAAACTATTTTTCTGTGTTTTCCTAAAAATCTTTTTTAAGCATGTATTATGAAGATTAATGAAAAAGTTTTGAAGCATTTTATGAAGTTCATATAATAATTTTTATAATTTATTATATATTATAATATAAAAAAAACCTGACTTGGATGGAGAAATCAATCAAATCAATCATTTTGGAAGCCATGTTCGTGGCCAAACAAAAGCTAAACCTTTCTTCACTTGGCTGCGCTGCTATGCTAATCTATGGAGATTTCAATCTCAGCCATTCTAAATACAAAGAGACAGACATTGGAAGAGGCATTGCAACCACCACTCACATCAAGAATGAGCACTCTACAGATGAGAAATTTCACTTCTGCCTTTAAGAATCACATCTAACCCAAGTTGTAACATTTCCAACATTTAGGAAAACAAGAATCAACCCACCCACAAACACACTTGACCTCATCATATTCGACAAACCAACCGAATTCTCAAGCTCAAACCAGACGAAGACTTCGGCTACACTGAACAAGGTTGGCTACACTGAACAAGATCGCCAACACTGTCTCATTAAAGACAGTTTTGGTCTAAACAGCACTGATAAACAACAACTAAACTTACTTAGACCTCTGTGGAACAAAGCTGACTATGAAGCCATATCACGCTACATCACGGCATCTGACTGGTAAACCATCTTTGACAGGCTCTCGGTAGAAGACGCATACATGGTGCTCGTTGACAAGTACAACGAGGCGGTCAAACACATCATTCCCTCTACACTATCCCTTACACGGAGAAAAAAGAGCCCTGGACCACGCCCGAAGTCTGAGAAGCAGTCAAAGCAGTCAAAGCAGGGGATCTCCCCCATCTGAGTATACTTACTTTATGGACAATCCCAATGTGCTTAAAAATTGAAACGAGTTGTACATCATGCACACTGAAGTCCAATGCAGACTCGAAAGCCTAGTTGAGTCCAAATTGATGGGCAACGACAGTCTCCATTCAAGGGTCCTAAAAAACTTCGCAACAGCCTTTGCCTCACCACTTATTAAGACAGCATAGTTCCCAGCCTTTGGCGCTGCCTGAACGTCACGCCGATCTTCAAGAAAAAGAGCAGATGCAAAGCTTCTAACTATTGCCTGGTATCACTAACATCAGTACCCTGCAAAATCCTCAAAAGCATTATACACAACCGAATAATACATTTCTGCAACCAGCATGGCCACATAACCAGGGCACAACATGGTTTTATGAGCAAAAGAAGATGCGTCACAAACCTACTGGAAGTGAGAGACATCTTGACTGAAGCCGCACACTAAAACAAAGCCTTGAACAAAGTACCTTATTGTTGTCTAATCCACAAGCTCAAAGCTTACGACATAAGTGGCTCTCTAGTCGATTGGATCAAAGCCTGGCTAGCCAACAGACAACAACGTGTAGTAAATGGAGACCACGAATCTGACTGGAAAAGCATCACAAGCGGTGTACCACAAGGCTCTGTACTCGGTCCTCTACTATTTCTCTTTTACATTAATGACCTCCCTGACAACATTGCTCACCACACCAAAATATATGCAGACAAAAGCAAAATCATGGGCCTTATCAAAACAAACAAAGATGCTGCTACAAAACAAGGTCAACAAGGCGGTTAAATGTTCTGAGAAGTGGTTTATGCTTTTCAACATTTACAAATGCAAAGTAATTTATGCAGGAAAAAAAAAAGCAACAAATTAATGCATAATTACACCATGGCTAAAGCAGACATCTCTTGACACCAACTCAAAGTCACCACTTCCAGTATCAGACGACCTCAAAGTCAACAAGCAAGTCATATATGCAGCAACTAGACCCAGTATGATGCTGGAAAACGTGGAGACTTAATTCAACAATATAAAATCACAATCGAAAAGATTGACTTCTTCACCTCACAAGTTTCTGCACCCTCAATCTCCCACTACAATCTACACAGCCACAACCTTCGCCTAGATAAACAGCTAGTGACAAACTGCTCCGAACAATTTCACTTCTTCACAAACAGAGTCATCAACGACTGGAACAAGCTGCCACCTGAAACAGTTCATGCAACTGCATTCAAAGACCAACTCAACCAACTTACCATCCAACAATCAGCACGGATAAAACCGCGGAACCTCAGCATAGAAGTGCCTGGTATCACACTTCTTCATTAATTTCTTAAACAAACAATTTTATTCTTCAAAATGCAACATTTATACCTTAAAGA